TATTCAATGAGATTATTTATAGGATAATTATATTACCACCACATATTTTACTAGTTACACCTCTATTTTAATTTTTTTTTTTTTGTTTTACTTAAATGGTCCTAAGTAGAATTACATTCTTAACGACACGATAATTTTTTTTGGAGGATGGTAGAGGTATTGACTAGGTATTATGTGAATGGATGTTGGATTGGGTTTTTTGGAGGATGGGAACAATTATTTATTTACTTATTTATTTACGTTTTGAGCTTGAACACTTATCGAAATTTCTCAAATTTGTATGGCCAAAAGATTACAACTTGCTTTGATACCAAATTGATGAAGAACACAATTTTACTAGAGCTAGATTGAGAGGGAGAAGAAAAGAAGAAGAGACAGAAGAAAGAGGAGAAAGGGAAGAGAAAATAGAAAAAATAGTGGGAGAAGGTATTAATTTATTTCATAATAAAAGTCTTAACTATTACAATGTACAAGCCTCTTTTTATAGGACAAAGAACTAAAGAAAATCTAATAAATTAGAACCTTATTAAATTCTAAAAGCTAATCTAAATAAACATAATTTGAATCAAACTCCACTTTAAAATCCTATCTTTATTTTTATATTCATTCCCCATAAATTGTATTTCTCGATTTCATCATAAATCTCCTTTGATCTTATTCAGCAAGTAGCTTTAGAAAATTTCAGTTTTGGGGTGTGAATCGAGATGCACATCTCCTTTTGTGGTAGCAGACCTCATGTAAGTGTGTTTGATATGCCCTATGATGTTATAAGTTTAGTTTATTTTTTAGCGAAGATGCAAATTAAATAATACTTAGGCATTTAGTGCAAAATAGAAGGCATTGAGAAATAGTATCTTCTGCTTCAAATCTCAATTGTGAAATTAATCTTATTTTTGTGTACGTGTTCTTCTTTGTGGATTGATTCAAGTTAGCATACTCTAGAGTTAGTAGAATTTATCCCATGCCTTAATTTTACTATAAGTTCTGCCATTATTGTTGATTTTCATGCCAAGCGGTAGTTGAATTATATTATGTGTTGATTATTCACGCTCATTTCCACTTTGGTTCTAGTTTTTGGCTCTTTCGTGATGCTTCTCTTTAGCAGAATGTCATTATTTATTCATATTTTTCTTTCTGGGAAAGGAAGTTTCCATAGTTTTGGACAGTGAAGGTGAAGTGTTGAGTATGTTTAAGTTTTGGACTCGGTTTTTAATCTAGTGTTCTCCGCTATCTGAGTTTTGACATAATGTAAGAAGACAATAATCTTGACAATATTGAGGTTTTCTACGTAATCACATACGAGACTTTTCTTATTGTCTACAATATGAAAACCATTGACAGAAAATTTTATTCTTTGCCTAAATTGCTATTCATCTTTCTTTAAAGTTGCGAGCTCTTGATCTCAGAAAAGTATGGTTTGGCCACTGTAATTAGAGGGGATATCCTATGCATGGTAATGCCGAAAACTTCTGTCATATCGAGATCCTTGACTTGAACACCAGTCGGAAGCTTCCAATCAAAGCTGTGAAGGAGTTGTGCCAAAGCAAGCTCAACAGTTACAGAACTAAATGCAATAGCTGGACAACTTCGCCTCCCTGTACCAAAAGGTATTAGCTCAAAATCTTGCCCCTTGTAATCAATATTGCTACCCATGAATCTTTCTGGTTCAAAAAGATCCGGATTTTGCCAAGATTCTGGGTCCCTGCCTATTGCCCAAGCGTTGATGAAAATCCTTGTTTTTTCAGGAATAGCGTACCCACCAATGGTAATCTCTTCCATGGATTCTCGTGGAACAAGTACCGGTGCAGGAGGATGCAATCTGAAGATTTCTTTAATAACAGCTTTCATGTAGTGCAACTGGGGCAAATCACTTTCTGATACAAATCTCCTTTCCCCGACTATGCTTCTTACCTCAGCTTGTGCTTTCTCCAGTACTCTTGGGTTCATCACGAGCTCTGTCATTCCCCAGTCCAAGGTAATGAAGGTTGTATCAGTTCCCGCAGCAAACATGTCCTACAGTGACAATTAAAATGGAGTCAAAAAGTGCCTGCACGCAAGCTTAACTATAAAGAAATTTAAGAAGCATAAAAAGCAGTCACTGACCAAGAGGATTGCTTTAACATTATCCATCGTGAGAGAAATTTCAATATCTTCACTCTTCTGTACTTCAAGTAAGACATCCACAAAGTCTTTGTGATCCTTTTTGTTATTGTGACTTAAATGATCCTTAATCACCTCGTCAAAAAACTTGTCAAAGCGCCTAAAAGTGTGTACAAGTCGTGATTTTGTTCCGGTTAATGTGTGCATAAATTCCATAGAAGGGAAGAAATCACCGATGCTAAATCCACCAAGTAATTCTTGATATTCTTCAAGCATTTTTTGGAATCCATGCCGATCATACTCTCCCCCTTCTGAGAAATCTCTACCAAATACCACACGACAAAGAACATCATTTGCATAGAGTGCGACCATCTTGCTTAAGTTGGCGGTGCCAGGGTATGAATCTCCAATACGCTGAATCAGACGAGCAACTTCTTCTTCTCTTACAAAGTCATAGGACTGGACTCTCCTTGCACTCAGTAGCTCTAATATGGTGATTTTTCGTATATGCCTCCAATAAGCACTATATGGAGAAAAAGCGATATCCGTGCAGTTATAGAAAAGATGTTTGGCAGAAAATATCTGGGGTCGGCTTGAAAGTGCAAGATCATGGTTTTTGATTGCCTCCTTCGCCATTCTTGCTGATGAAATCACTACCGTTGGGATCTGACCAAGTTGTAAGCTAATTATGGGGCCAAATCTCTTGGATAGATTGTAAAGAGAGAGGTGTGGCACGTTGCCAAGTTGATGGAGGTTGCCAATGACGGGAAGTTTTGAAGGGCTTGGGGGCGTTTTAAGATTTCGTTTATTGAAGTTCTTGTTTGAGAAAAACTTGAACCCAAGCACCAGTAATATTGATGCCAACAGTATGGACAGCAGGAAGCATTCCTTCAGCCATTGTGGAAGATCCATCGATATTCCTATACGAGGTTCGTAGCTAATACTATGCCCCTTCTTATATTAGAAAGTTCCTATCTGCCCAAGGCCTCGTGAGAACTTTGGTCGTCATAGATGTGTTCAGCCTTTACTGTTCAACTAAGAACTTTCTGCATTTGAGAATTTTAGTTGGATGAATGAGTCAAGGAATCTAATAGCAAATTAGCTACTTACAAGTCTATCTACTCATCATGAAAGTAGGGATATTTATTTACATGATTGATCTCTTTGATTTGGATTTTTCATCTTCAGTGACTAGATTTGGCTGTTATAGATAAAGGTTTGTTTACTTTTCTTGGTCTTTGCATATTTTATAGTCATCACAATAACGCAACTAGCTGTAACTTTTGAAATAAGTAATTTTTAGACTCAAAAGTAAATTCGACGTTCATAGCTCGTCCAATAAGTATAAGTTGGATTATGGTCCCCTGCTTCACATGTGATCTTTCATCTTGTCCATTTCATGCTAGACGTGGAAATAATTCATCTTATATTTGGCTTTTATAGAAAATAATTCATTTACATTCAGAATTTTGTCTTTATCTTTGTGGAAATCTAGAAAATTTCAGAGATAATATTTTCTTGTTTAGAGGATTGGCAGGGGGTGGGGTTCGGGGAATAATTTATATATATGGATGGAATCAAAATTAAATGACCACACGAATAATGGTCGATCTGAAGGTCCAAATGCTAAAAAACAAAACGATATGGACAATTTGATTTGATTTTGCCACGTTTGGCTGATGAATGGGGAATCTTTTCACTATCATGAACTTGCGTGCATATCTTAAACTCAACAAAGTCGTATTATTCAATGTGTACTATGACGATAGAAATAGACTTCTAACCATAACAAATGAAAGGTCCAAAATATGCCTGATAAAGCAAGACAAATTACAATATTCTTTAACAAGCCCCTTCAAACTAATGATGGCGAGCTTTAAAAGTTTGCTAAATAAAATGATTAAGCATCATCGTGCTATCAATTGAACAAAATAAGGTTGCCTTACACTCTCCATATACATCAGGGTTGAAGTTACGTGACACTCTTCTTCCATTCAGCAGTACTAAGACACATCACTTAGTCCATGAGCTTAACTTAATAATATCAAACTAGCTTAACAATGTGAAGGTTGCCAGAGGCATTGCAAAAGCCGAAAAAATAATTGAACATAGCAAACCAAACGAATGCAAATTCTGAATGTTATGGATTGATCGAAAGATAATGACAATAATGAAATAAACAAGAACAAAACAAGAATACTAAGATTTATGGGAAACCTAAGATGAGAAGAACCGCAGGAAAAGGAAAGGAAAGGTAAGACGGGTCTCGTAATGTAGCATAGTAAAGCAGTCAATTCAATAATCGATGGTACGAAACTAATAGACAAAGGAAGAGAAAACCATTATAATCAATAGTAATTGTGCTTACAACAAGATCTCAATATTCTCAATTAAGATTTAAAGCTCTCAAGATATTGCATGAATGTTATGAGAATAGTACAAACCCTTACTTATATATATAAAATCCTATAAATCAAGTTGTAGGTGAATAAGAGTCCAAAAACGCATAACAAAGTGAAATGAGCTTGGCTCTCGAGGCAGAGGCGACAGCTCAGCTGCTCGAACGCTAGGCAGGCGACAGAAAAGCTACAAGTTTATGTAGAAAATATGCAGGCGCCAGTCAAGCAGCCATCTAGCGACAGGCTAGTGAAAATGAGACAACTTTTCTTTCTGGTCTATGATTATGATCTCTTAAAGACCAATTCAACCAAAACTCTAATACCTATTAGGATTTGGGTCAAACTATAATAAATCTCCACGTCAAACCAAATTCCAATACAAGGATTCCAAACACATATCTCTAAAATAAACATCACTCATTCTCTTTCAAATAAGCCCCAATGGGCTAAATCAATGACCAACACCAATTAAGTTCAAGCAGTACTCAAACTTAGCAATGAAAGATAGTTTTGTCATCATATTATCAGGATTATCCTTATCATCAACTTTGCTCACTACAATATTGCTACAAGCAATCACAATATATTGTAGAACATAGAAATCAGTAAGGCTTCACTTATTTCACCAATCAATCATCTCAACCACATATCTTCCTTACATGCATCTGTAATGGCCATGTACCCCGCATCTGTTGTAGACAAATGGTGAGTGCTGTAGTAGACACCCAAATTAGAACATATACTTCTTAAAATAAATGCAATGGTAGAAGTAAGGGTCAATCCTAAGAAAAGTGTTTAGTCTATTTTCCATGCTATATTAATGAAAATGGGGGGTTTTGGTTTTGAAACGATCGATTATTAAGGAAAATAATTAATATCAAAGAAAATCAATGAATTAAATGAAATCAATCTAACGAACCTCGATCTAAGTCAACATCCACCATTGGAAATGCGTAACCAGTCATTGATCCACAAATAATCATTAATTCACACTTTTAGCATTCATTGTGGAAATCCATTTTCCATTAGAAACAATTTCCTATTTCTCCTTAGTTTAAATTAATTAGAAACAAGCGATCTAATTAATCTTAATTAATAAACAATTCCAGACAAGAGCAAAGATTTAATTCAATAATTGCTTTATGAACTAGAGAAATCAATGAACTAGATAACACAAGCACATGTGATTGCATTTAACCTAGATAAATATTATTCCTAAGATTCAATAATTTTCAAAGCAGCAAATCATTAATCCTACTTGCTTTGCAAGTTAAATTAATCAAACAATTACGGATTTGATGTTTAACTTAGCTATAGATTGTGGAGAATAATAAACTAGTATGCATCCTAACAATTAAATAGAACAACCCTAAAAATACATGCAGAAAAATATTTAATACTAAACATATGAATTAAAAAATAAAAATCGGTGGATCTCACAGTTATAATTGTTCCAAGGCTTTTGTCTCTTTCGATCAAGCAAAGTGAATTAGTTACAGATCATAAATCTAGAGCAAAAAAAGAGAAAATTAGGTTTGGGGCCGATCTCTAGGTTTTGGACGAGATTTGGGGTTTATATATCATGTACAAGATTTTGTTTCTATGAGTAGTTGAATGAAATTAGGAAACTAAAAATTATGCCTCGGAGATTAACCATGCGACCACATGGTTCAAATGGTTAAGGTCACATAGAACAACTATTTTCAGCCTTCAAGTTCTTTGAAGCAAGTTGTGCGACTGCATGGTTTTGCCGCTTTCTCCACCGGACAGCTTTCAATACTTTGATCATAAATTTCTCTCCCGATATCCGGTTGAGGTGATTCAAATTGGTTGAAAAGCTAATGAAAAGGGCTATAATTTTGTTAGATATAGAATTTTTCCAATTCGCAAGTTTACTATGGCAAAAACAGGTCTCAAACATAGGCTAGATCTGGAGCATAACTTTTTCGCATGGAAGTTGACATGTGATAATACTTTGGTTATATTTCATCTGCTTGTCTTCTTTCCCCATCCAATTGATCCCTAACATTCTTGAATCTTCATTCCATCGCTCGTCTCATCTATGGATTATTTGCAACTTTGTCCTTGAACTTTTACTTGATTCCATTTTGGTCATTTTTGGCTCTTTTCTCCCAACTTTCATAATTTCCATCCAATTGCAACCTAAATCTAAATATAAGGGTACTAAGTACATTTAAGTATTAATTAATCACAAAAGTGAAAGTATTAATCCGTGAAAAATGCGACATTTGATGTCTTATCAACAAAACTGCTGTATTTTGCAAACTAGATTTTCAACTGATAGCACAGCCTCCAAAGGTAAACAAAGTACCCTGTAAATGATCTCCTATTATCAAGATCCCCTACATATTCTGAATCCACATATCCAATGACCCCATCTGCATTTCCACCAAAATACAAGCAAGCATTAGTAGAGCCCTTCAGGTATCTAAATATCCATAGTACTGGTTTCCAATTTTAGTTCTCAGGATTTGCCATTGTCTACTAACTACACTAACTGCATGTGTCAAATTTTGATTGTACAAGCCATAGTATATATAAATGAACTAGCTACACTGGAATAATGAATCCAAAATATATAATCAATATCTTCATCTGATTGAGGACATAATCTAGATGATAATTTGAAGTGGGTAGCTAATGGAGCATTGATAGCCTTAGCATTCAGTATATCAAACCTTTGAAGCACATTCTTAATGTATCCCTTTTGACTCAAATACAATCTGCCAGCCTTTCTATCCTTCAAAATCTCCATACAAAGAATTTTTTTGCTGTGCCAAATCTTTTATACAGACTCCTTATTAAATTATGATTTCGTCTTTCTAAACTCGGCTTTGTCTTTAGCTATTATGGGCATATCATCAATATATAATAACAAATATGTGATCAATCCACTATCTTCCTGTCCGACGTACACACATCTATCATAACTACTTCTAATAAAACTATGAGTAGTCATGAATGAATCGAACCTTTTATACCACTACCTCGATGACAGCTTTAGTCTATACATGGACTTCTTCAAACATAACACAGTCTTTCTTTCCAGAAACTACGAGATCTTCTGGTTTTTGTATGTAAATATTCTCCTCAAATTCTTTATTCAAGAATTCTATATTAACATCTATCTATTCAAGCCCCAAATCATTCTTTGTTACTATTCCAAGTAAAGCCCGATTTTGAACTATGCTTCACAATTGTTGAAAACACATCTATAAAGTTAATACGTGGAATCTGATTGTAGTCCTTTGCTACTAGTCTAGTCTTATACCTAGTATCTTTAATCCTTGATGTCATTTTCTTATTCTGAACACTCACTTGTAGCGAACAACCCTTTTATCCTTAGGTAATTTTACAAAGTCCTAAGTACTGTTTTTATTCAGTGATCCCTTCTCCTCTTGCATAGAAATCAATCATCTGCTGGAATCATTGCAACTGTCTGTCTCTGAACAGGCTCCTAAGTGGAATTAATATCTTCAGCCACATTCAATGCATAAGCTACCAAAACTGCTTCTCCATACTTCTGTGGAGGTTTAATCTGTCTGCGAGTTCTATTGTTAGCAATTGAATACTGTGGTGTTGCTGGGGTTTAGGCAAAGTATTACTGTTTGTTAATTCTGGACTAGATTGATCTATAGTAGACTATTTTGAAACTTCTGATTGTTCCCTTGGACCAATTTCTAACTCTACCTGAGTTGAATGATTCCATTCCTCAGTT